CCCCCTAAACTACTACACCCTGTACCCCAAACCCCCACAGCACTCCACCCTGTATCCCAACCCCCTAAACTACTACACCCTGTACCCCAAACCCCTTATAGTACTACAACCTGTACCCCAAACCCCCACAGCACTACACCCTGTACCTCAAGCCCCTAAACTACTACACCCTGTACCCCAAACCCCCACAGCACTACACCCTGTACCTCAAGCCCCTAAACTACTAGACCCTGTACCGCAAACCCCCACAGCACCACTGTGCATTATATCCTAATCCTCTAAACCTCACCCAGCAGCCCAATCACGCAGACAGAGGAGTCCAGTCTGAGAAAAGATAAATATTCTGCATTTATTGAAACACACATTAGCACAGAACATGGAAGCAGTCTGGTGGGGACCGCCGCTGGCTCCGACAGGGGGCCTCAGGCTGTGAGGGGGGTCTCGGGCGCGAGCCTGATGAGGGAGTTGCTGGCCTGGGCAAGCTCCGCGATGGACACACGCCCGCGCTGCTTGATGAACCGAGCCACTGCCGACAGCTCTGCTGGCGTGATGTAGATAAACTTCCCTCGGTCATCTATCACCCCTGAGAGAGGGGGAGAGAGCACAGAAATCACATGTGATCCTCGTACCTGCAGCCGGGGCAGCACAGGTGAGCAGGCACATATTCGAGGACCGCAGTGCACACGCACACCGGAGCCAATACACCTGCTGCTCACAAACAGCCAAGGGATGCAGGATGAAACAGCAGCATCAGACTCTTTCTGACATGAGCCTCGCCCTGACTCACCTGTCACTCAGGGCCAGCTGCCATGGAAACACTATGATAGGAAGCCCTCATCACCTGCAGGCAATTTTCATCGAGGCCTGCATCAGGTGGTGCCAAATATTTGAGGTCTATTGGACAATGCTCAGTGCTCTGGTGTAGAGTCTTCTCTAGAGGTGCTCTGGTGTCTCACTCATGTTTCTCCCTGGATGCTCGTCCAGAGGCTCGCCCTGACCACGACTTTGCTTGAACCATGCTTGTTTGGCTTTGGATCCTCCCTGTACTTCGCTACCGTGTTTTTCTGGCTCTGACTGCTGCATTGTTGGACAACAACCCTGGATTGTGAACCTGACTCCCCAGTCTCTCATGCACTGGGCCTGTCTGTGAGCTCATCACTGCTCAACCTGATTCACCTTAAGAAGCAGGTATATAAAAAAAAAAAAACACCACCAAGAAGAAACAAAGCTTACCTGTTAGAGAGCCGTCTGCAATAAGGTCCTGTAGCCTGGAGATGGCATCCTAGGCACAGCAGGGGTCAAAGTTCAGTGGCTAACATTCCAACCTGAGCCTCCTCTTTAATTTTTCAGTTTCACCCTTCACCCACCCACCATGCCTCTCCTCATCTCACACTGACCTGTGTGCGCATCCCAAAATGAGAGGCCAGGTCTTCCAACAAAACCACCTTTGCATTCTGGGAACAGGGAAGAGAGAGGAAGAATGAGAGTGGCCATCACTGATACAGGTGAAAGGACCAGCCCTGAGGCGGACACTGAATGGGCTGGCACAGGGGGCCCTAGGACTGCGTGGCCAGTGGGGAGAAAAGGCAGAGGAGGGAATGGTGGTCACTAGGGGAGAAGGAGATCCTGCTGTTTAGAGTCGAGGACAGAGGACAGGCTCACCTTGATGTACTCGATAAACTCCTGCAGCAGGCTATGAGTCTGAAAGCAGAAAATAAACAGTGAGAAATGAGCATATCTGTCAGGCCCTGCTCCTCCACGGTGAAGGTCTCAGTCAGTCGGTACCTCCTGCTCAGTGAGCGTATCTGTCAGGCCCTGCTCCTCCACGGTGAAGGTCTCCTTCAGCTTCAGGTACTCCTCATGTTCCCGACGCTCCTGTTCCTCCCGCGTTCGCTGCTCCTCCTCCGCCTGAAACCATGGCAACAGTCAGCAGAGTGTCAGAGCCGCTGCGCCCAGCAGAGCGTCAGTGCTAGATCACGAGCACGGGGGTGTCGGGGCGTCAGGGTGTCGGCAGCACCTTCCTCTGCTCCTCCAGTCTCTCTCTCTCCTCCTCCCTCCTCCTCTCTTCCTCTCTCAGCTGCTGGGTTCGTTTCCGCTCCTCCCGGTCCTCCAGTTCAGCCTGAAACACCAGACAGCCGGTCAGCAGCGCCCACCCCGGATGCCACAGTGCGACAAGACAGCAACCGAAGCAGGACAGTGAGGCTGGAAAGGGAGGCCTCGCCCAGTGGAGGCCGAGCGTCTTTGGTCAGCCTGCTGCAGGTCCTTACGTCTGCTGCTGGAGAGCAGAGCCCCACTGGGCCCCCAGGTGAGCCGACAGGAGTGCCCACCGTCTGTATGGGACTGCACCATCAAGTCCCGCGTGTCAGAATGTACACACCTCAATCACTTAAAATCACATGCAGTGATTTCATCAGCTTGTTCATTTAAAATGAACAAATACCACACAAGGCCTGTTTGCTGCCTTGTTGCTCACTTCATACTGCACTTCTAGAGAAAGACTTGAGCTGCTGAATGTCCATCCATCCGTTCCTTACGGATTCTCCCAATTCTGGGCCGCAGGGGAGCCGGAGCCTATCCTAGCAAGCATCGGGTGCAAGGCAGGACACCCTGGATTGCAATTTCCCTCACGGGATCAATAAAGTATCTATCTATCTATTGATCGCTAGTTCACTGCAGGACAGACAGACACACTCACTCCATGGCCAACTCCCAGGAGCGACGAGCTCGGAAGATCAGGAAACAAAGGAGAAAGGGGACCGGAGAGCCTCTCACCTCTCTCTGCGCTCTCCTGGCCTGCTTCTCCTCCAGCTTCCTCTGCTTCTTCGCCCCCACCTTCTCCGCACCCAGGAGCTGAGGATGCTCCTCCAGGTCCTGCTCCTCCCCGTTGCTGTCCTCTGGGAGATCAGAGACACCCAGCTCAGCTCTCTACTCCTGGATCTGCCCCAGCGTTTCCACAGACACGCAGCTCAG